ACGGACGACAGCTCGGGACACTCAGCGCACGGTGACGGGGCAGAATTTGTTCAGTGGCCTCTAAGCATGCAATCTGGCAACGATTCGTATACTTATTCAGTGTTTATCATAAAATATATTATTTTTAAATTTCACGTACCCCCTAAGATTTCTTCGCGTACCCCCGGGGGTACGCATACCCCAGGTTGAATACCACTGCTCTATACCGTTGGATGACTCGTGATCACGACGTTTGGTAATGGACGACAAAATCAAATATAGTTACTAAATATTTTGAAGACGTAATAAAAGACAAATATTTGGGAACTAACAAACAAACATAAGGAGGCCTATATTCAAGATGAAACTGAAAACAGATAAAAAGTTTGCTGCTATTTTGGTTTAGAAACTTTTGCCTAAGACGTAGAGATTAAACTATAGTGCTGCCTATTGTTTTGTATGGACGTCAAATATGACATCTTACATCAAGGGAAAATTGGTGATTTTGGAAATAGGGTACTGAGGAAAATACACAGACCCGAGATAAATGTTATCAGAAAGCAGGGGACACCAACTTACTAACTTTGGGGGTACGCGAACAAAAAAGGGCTAGACAGCCTCCAAACTTGACAGCGGCGCCTCGTTTTACATCGGGACAGAAGCTTACGTCGACGGACTGCATGTTTCGGAGTCACATAAAAATCGTATGCAATCTGGCAACGATTCGTATACTTATTCAGTGTTTATCATAAAATATATTATTTTTAAATTTCACGTACCCCCTAAGATTTCTTCGCGTACCCCCGGGGGTACGCATACCCCAGGTTGAATACCACTGCTCTATACCGTTGGATGACTCGTGATCACGACGTTTGGTAATGGACGACAAAATCAAATATAGTTACTAAATATTTTGAAGACGTAATAAAAGACAAATATTTGGGAACTAACAAACAAACATAAGGAGGCCTATATTCAAGATGAAACTGAAAACAGATAAAAAGTTTGCTGCTATTTTGGTTTAGAAACTTTTGCCTAAGACGTAGAGATTAAACTATAGTGCTGCCTATTGTTTTGTATGGACGTCAAATATGACATCTTACATCAAGGGAAAATTGGTGATTTTGGAAATAGGGTACTGAGGAAAATACACAGACCCGAGATAAATGTTATCAGAAAGCAGGGGACACCAACTTACTAAGTAAAGTAAAGCTGTCCCACTGTACGCCATGTAGGCGTTTATGGGGAGAGATGGTATAGCTCCTACTCATTCTTGACCTCGGCACTAGATGGGGGTGAGTGGTCAGCATCACGCCCCGGCCGGCTTTACCCCCGGGAAAGGACCCCGGTACCCATTGTAGAGGAGGCTGGGTGGGCCCCAGAGGCTAGAGGGAGAAATCCTCTGCCCCTGTCGCGGATCGAATCCCGGTCGTCCAGACCATATTGACAATAACTTAACAATTTGTATTTTTCACTAAAAACCACTCCCGTGATAAAATCAAGAAGGATGAAACGTGGGAGGTAGTGGAATAGATGAGAAACGAAGACCCCGAAGGAAGAGGACCACTTGGGAGACCTAAATGTCGATGTGAGGAGAACACTACTACAACGATTCTTAATAAAACAGCCTATAAGTTTGTGGAATGGATTAGAATGGCTCTGGATAGACAGCAATGGTGGATTCATATGAAGACATTAATAAACATCACGGTCTGTGCGAAGCAACCAAGGACTCTGCCCCATAGAGATGATAATTTCAGTCTCTTACATTTTGCAATTTCTTTTATATTTGAATAACAGGGGGGGAGATAATGCGGAACATAATTACTATCAGGTCACAATGGCTCCCGTGTGTCCTCGGTGGTGACGGATAAGGCCCTTAAAGCTTAGTTGTGGTGTCTGGTCTTCACATAAAAATAAACTCATCAGACCGGCAACGTAGTAAATACTGGGTATGATCTGAGGTTTTCACAGCGGTCTTCTGGGTTGTTTCGCCGTGTAGTATCCGTCATCAGGGCGATTAATTCATCGACCTGATAACGGAGGCAGTATGACCTCTGAAGCGTTGGTAAACATCGACCAGACTACACAGCGTGACAACCCAGAAGACAGAAATCTTCATACTCATCGCCCTGATGAAGGAGGCAGTATGACCTCTGAAGCGTTGGTAAACATCGACCAGACTACACAGCGTGACAACCCAGAAGACAGAAATCTTCATACTCGCCGCTGTGAAAACTTCAAATCTCGTCCTGATGATGGAGGCAGTATGACCTCCGAAACGTTTGTTAACATCGACCAGACTACACAGCGTAACAACCCAGAAGACAGAAATCTTGAGACTCACCGCTGTGAAAACTTCAAATCTCGTCCTGATGATGGAGGCAGTATGACCTCCGAAACGTTTGTTAACATCGACCAGACTACACAGCGTAACAACCCAGAAGACAGAAATCTTGAGACTCACCGCTGTGAAAACTTCAAATCTCGTCCTGATGATGGAGGCAGTATGACCTCCGAAACGTTTGTTAACATCGACCAGACTACACAGCGTAACAACCCAGAAGACAGAAATCTTGAGACTCACCGCTGTGAAAACTTCAAATCTCGTCCTGATGATGGAGGCAGTATGACCTCCGAAACGTTTGTTAACATCGACCAGACTACACAGCGTAACAACCCAGAAGACAGAAATCTTGAGACTCACCGCTGTGAAAACTTCAAATCTCGTCCTGATGATGGAGGCAGTATGACCTCCGAAACGTTTGTTAACATCGACCAGACTACACAGCGTAACAACCCAGAAGATAGAAATCTTAATAAATACTGTCTTCACATATGAAAGGGCTTTGGCCGATAATACAATTAAGCTTGAATCTTCATCAGACTGAATCTCGCAGGAAGATGAGATAGGACACACGGAATTAGACATATTTAATTCTTACACTTACAGAAGCCACTTCATCTCATTCCTTGTTCTTTTTCTTGTCAGGAGACGAAATGTCCAATGACGCAGCAAATCATTTCGACAGTAAATATGCAGAAACCTGTAGAACAGAGCAGAAAAGTTAATTGTGGTTTCTCTAATGTTTTAAGTATCAGCTGTATAAGGTAGCTTAATGGACAAAACACCGACGTTTCGAGAACCATCTTCGTCCTAGTCCTCATCCTGAGATGGTTCTCGAAACTTCTGTGATTTCTTCATTAAGCCAACTTACGCGGTTGGTAGCCATAGAAAAATTGATTATACTTAGTAGCCGTCAAATCTTAGATCATTCACCAGATAAATGTTACAGCGAATGTACGAAAATATTACTATTACTAAAGTAAGTTGTAAATGATAACTACAGTGACATCTATCAGTAATTATTATTTATTTAGTGTTCTGTGTGACGACAGGTCCATATGAACAGGATCCTTCCATCCTTTTCTCGGACTGGGACCTGTTCATATACGTTCTTGGCAGATGATCCAGAAGTGGTTTGCCATTGCCTTCGTCTGTGTGTGAATGGAGTAATTGTTGGGATGCCACGGACGAAAACTCCGTG